GGGGGGGGGGATGCTCCGCCGCGGGGCGAGGCTTGGGCCGGCCTGGCCGCTTGGGCGGGCAAGAGCCCGGGACGGGCGAGGGGAGGGCGGCCGCCCCGGGGAGATAGCGGGGCGATGGGCGGGACGCTGAGAGGTTCCCCCGAAGGATCGGCGCCCCGCAGCCGAGCTGCCTTGGTCAGAGGGCTGGACCCCGGTGCCCGGTGGGAAGTGGGCCAGCGCCGGGTCCCCTTCCGGGCATTGGGGCTCAGCTGCTTGGCTCGGGGTTAAGACGGCCGGGCCACCGGGTGCAAGCAGCCTCCGAAGCTGCTGGTTGGGTGGAGAAGGGCCTGGGCTGCCCCTGGAGGGGAGCGGCTCTCCCCCGGTCTCCCGAGGGGTGGGCAGGGATTCAGCTGTGATTTGGGCTTTATTATTCCTGCATTCCGCTTGTGGGGCTGCCCAGATCACTCGGAGACTCTGGGGAGGGGGCGAATTCCAAACAAAGTACAATTACTAAAACCATTTTAAAGACAGCGCAGTAGCAGCTGAAGACTCAGCAAAGGCCTTGGAGGAGCCGAGGCTTCTGCACACACTTGGGCCCAGCAGCACCAGCCACCGAGGCCTTCCAGAGGGCAGCAAGGGGAGCTCCAACCGGATCCTCCTCCTCGGAGGGAGATGCTCCGGTGAGCAGGCCCCTCCTCCCTCTTGGCTGATGGAACCGGCAACAGGCCTCTCCGGCCCCTCCGATGGCAGAAACCACCTGGGAGTAAAGGAGGTGACCGCAACAGGCAGCACCTTGAACTGCCTCGCGGACTCCCACTGAGAGCCAATGCAGCTTGCAGGGTGTGGAGTCACATGTGCCAAATGTTGAGGGCACCAGAACAACAACAAAGTTGGGAACGATGTTGCTACTGAGGTTCCCTTTCATGGCCACAGCTGGATTCTGCATCCCTCGGGCACAGGGTTTCTTTGGTAGCCGTAGCAACATGGAAGAAGCTTGCCTCTGGGATGCTTCCTGCCCAGCCCCACCTGTGGGTGTCCTGGCAGTGTGATCCTCCTTTCAAGGCCTCGGTGATCAACTCCTAGCAAGTGGAGCCGCCAACCGGGGAATCCTGCTGCCCCAGGAGGGGGAGATTTCCCCATCGCGAGGTGCTATCTTGATGGACCTTGATCTCCCATCTGGAGGGATCACAGGTCGAACCAGATCTAAGGGCGGCACAGGCTCAAAGCAGAAAGAAGTCTCCCATCTGCCAGCCACAAGTCAAGGGTGGTCTTTCCCTTGTTTCACAGCCCCCCCTGTGCCCCCTTTCCCTTCGTGTACTCCTACCCCACAGAGCAACAGCTGGCCCCACGGACTCAGGGCAGCAAAGTATTTCCAGCTTTACAAAAGCTGAGAGACTCAATCAGTGGGCTGCTTGTTCTGAATCCTGGATCTTCTGCGGTTTCTCATCAGTTCAGCCACATTTTCTGGCTTTTTAAAAACTTGGTTTCCATGAGCCCCCGGCTGGACTCGGCAGGAGAGGGAAAGGTGCTTGCCTCCTGCCCTTCTTTTGGGCTGATGAAAGGGACCCCTTCTCTTCCTGGCCCCTCTGGTCCTCCCAGGAAAGGCCCAGGGCATTCTTGATGGATCAGAGGCTTTTTCAATCCTCCTCCCCAAAGGGGGGGTTGACTTTGGGGACGTCCAGAATTCCCAGCCAGGTAGACGGTAGATGTCTTTCCTCTCCCAAGGGTGGGGCCGCACTTTCCGTCACGTGTTTTCCCGGAGAATCAGAGGCAGGTGGAGAGTTGTGCACGGGAGCCCAGGTCACCTGATCTACCTTGAGAGGAGAAGAGGAAGCGGGGGGAGGGGCAAAGGCTGGTAAAAATTCTATTTCAATTAAATACCCATCGAGTTCTGGTTCTCCTTTGACTCGGGGGAAAATCTGCTCTAATCACCTGCCTTCCTTTGTTTCCTGGAACATACAGAGCACGTTTTTTCTATCTGTGAGGCACCTGTGGGCCTCCTTTGACTAGCCGCTTCCGCTGCTCCAGGTTCAACGGCTTCATTTCCAGTTGATTCAGGTGCTTCTGGCCGTGGAGCCGTGGTGCGTGCCTGATTCATGCCAGCTGGAGGACTGAACTGGAGCTCCGGCTGTCTTTTTGGGCATGTGCCTATCCAGGCAAAGGGTGGGAAGCAGAAGTGGGGGGGGGGAGCATCCTGGCAGACCCAGAATGGCCGGAGGCCCCTTTCTATGGGCATTTGAACTACAAAAAGGGCTCAGTGCTTTCTATGAAGCTTAAAGTGTGGCTTAGCCTCCTGAATGGAAACCCTTACAAAGATCCCAAAGGCTGAAGGGGAGCAAAAGGGGGTTATTTCTGTAAACCAAGATGCCTCGGTTGTCGGGGGCCCCTCGGACAAAAGAGTATTTGGGGGATCCTCTCCAGAAGATCTGGATGCATTCCGGCCAAGGCAGTGGTGCTGAATTTGGTCCTGTGAAGGACCCTGAGAGAGGGGGAGGCAAGACAAAGAGACACCCCCCCCTCATCCAGGTCCTGGTTCTCCCAAAGGTGCTTTTTCAAAACGCAACTGGACTTTCTTTTTGCTTGAAGATGTTTCACTTCCCATCCAAGGAGCTTCTTCAGTTCAAGCTGCTTTGAAGGCCGGTGTAGATCAACGGTCATCTTCCCCACCTGTGGCTCTTTTGCCAGCATTTGGATGCAGACTGAATACTGACTGGGGAGACCAACCTCCTTGGCACCTTCCCCCCTCAGCCTGGAGAGGGGACATTGGTGCTGCTGAGATTCAAGAAGGATGCGCCAGGAGCATTTGCCGAGCTCAAAAGAGAAGAGTTTATTACTGCTAGAGTGGCAAGGAAGGGACGGTGTTTGCTCTGCGGAAGGGCCCATGGTGGCTGCTCCTCCTGGCCAGCTGCTCAAAAGGCCTCCCATTGCCCAAGAGGATCCTTCTGGAACTTCTCGTCCTGAATCGCTGGCGGGTGTTTCCTGGGGGGCCGAATGGCTGAGCTGGTTCGTGTGGGGGTGGCTGTGTTGCTTGCTTGGTGGAGGAGCTGAAGGGCCAAGCGTGATGGGGGCTTTCCTCCAAGGGCCGAGGGGGCTCCAGGGCTTTCGAGGGCCGCCCCTTGCACGGCGCACACAGTCCTCTGAAGCTCCTCTGCCAGGCGCTGCGTGGGCATCCTCCGCTGAGATCCCCCGGCTGTGCCTTTCCTGCCCTGCGTGGAGAGAGAACCTTGCAGGGGCGCCCAGGAAAGGAGCTCATCGCACCTTGCAGTTCCCTTCCGGTCCTCCTGCTTGAGGGGCAACACGGGGCCCCTCAGTTGTGCCTGAATTACCTGAGAGTCCGGCCAGATGGTGGTCCTTGGCCTTAAGCAGAGCCTGGGCGCCGTCAGGGGCCTCCGGGGCAGAGAGGCCTTGCTCTCCAAGGACTGTCCTCTTGGCGGTCCCCTTGCTCTCACTTTGCCTGTCATGGGAAATTCCTTGCAGCATCCCCGGATGCCTTCTCCTCTCTGCCCTTCCTTTCCCCACTTCCAGGGAAAGGGAGGGGCCACGGGTGGCATCAGCATCATGCCAAGGGGCGTGGCCAGGAAAGCAGCACATGAGCACCCTGGGGAGGTGCCCATCTCTTCTGGCTGGAGAACCAGCCTTCCTGGCCTGGGGGAAGTCATGGGGAAACTGGACAGGGGGCCCTTTCTGGTGAGTGTCCCCCTCTTCCTCAGAGCTGCAAGGGGGGGGGGGGGGCGGCAAATGCTTTCTGTCCTGGGAAGAAGAGAGGAAGGGGCTGCCTCACAAGGGCCCCCTAGCCACTTCCCCACTCTTTCCAGCCACACTCTGCCTGAGGTTTTGTCCAGGCTTCTGCTGGGGACGGGGGACAATCCCTCGCCTTGGGGTGGGGGGGAGCAGATGTCCCCCTCTCGGTTGACTGGCTGCTCTCTCCTATCGGGGATCGGGAATAGCTGGCTGTCAGCACAAGACCGGCCTCTTAAGGGGTGGGGCTGGTGGGCTCTGGCTTCAGCCGTGCTGCAGGTGTTCCCTGGCAGGCTGGTCTCCCCCGGAGGTTTACGAGAGAGAGATGGGGAATCTGGCACTGCCATCCTTGCCGATGCTGCTGCCCAAAGCCCGTCCTGTGCTAACCAGGTGGCCGCCTTGGCTTCCTTCCAGATTCTCATGAGGCTCCCTGCCCCCTTGTCCTGCCCAGCCCCACCCAGAAGCCCCGAGGAGGCCGTGGGTCTATTGCACCAGCCGCTTCCTGCCCTCCATTGTGGATTGGGAGCTGGTGGCTTTCTCAGCTGAGGGAATGGATTTTGTCAGCCGGTGCCAATGGGGACGTGGCCAGGCAAAGGGTCCTCCTGCCTGGCCCCCTCCCTGTCCTGATGTTGTAGACCAAGGGCCTCCTCCGTGGAGGGCATTTGCCCCCTGTGATACAAGAAGAGCACCATCTTTGTGGTTTATTTTGACAATCCTCCCTCCCTCCCATTCCTCTGGCATCCCTCTCCACCTTCTCTAAGCTCTGCCAAGCAGGATCTTACCCTCTGCTGGGCCCGGCTTTACTTGGGGATGCTGTGGGGATGTAGAGGGGGGCAGGACTGGATTTGGGTGCTCTTGGTGGCTCCAGTTCCCCTGAGACGGCCTGCTCTCGGGCCCCTTCTGTCTTCGGGTCTTCATTCCACGTCTTTGAAAGGATGGGAGGCAATTCAAGACAGTAACAATTGTGCGTTATGGACATTGGAACTCATTGGAGAAACTAATATGTTATTTACATACCCTACGTGCTGCTTTTGCTTGAAGAATCATAGGAAGCAAATATGGCGGTCCCGTTTTGTACTACGACAACCCTGTGAGGTGGGCTCCTCAGCCAATGAGCTCCAAGCCTTTCCAGTCCATTTTCCCTTCTGGCCCCTGTCAGGCTCGGCCTCTCCTGCCACCTTGTTCTTTCGAGAGACCGGCTCAGGTGGGACAGCAGGCCCCCCCCTGCAGCATGGCTGTTCTGTACCAGACGCTTCCAAGGGGCCGCCTGACCTTTGGGGTCTCCTCCGTCAAGCTCTCAGACGTGAGCGAGACGCTTCTTCTCTCTCCCTTAAAAAGCCCCATTTCTCTGAGTGTGGGGCAGCCCCCCCCCTCACCCTGCTCCCTCCGCTTTGCCTGCAGAAGAAGCCCTGGGAGAAGCTGAGGAGCCTGGTGCAGTGGTCGCCCTGCGTGGTCTCCTTCCGGAAGCACTACCCCTGGGTTCAGCTCGCTGGCCATGCAGGTAAGGAGCGCCCACCCCTTGCCCTGGGAGGAGGCCGGGTGGGCGCCTTCTGTAGGGGACGAGGCCCCCGCGGGACTCCCGCCAAGGCTTTCCTCCATCCCCCCTCCTCTTTAGGTAACTTCAAGGCCGGGGATTTGGGCCACGTCTTGAAGAGACACTGCTCCAACGAGCAGCAGTGCCTGGAGCGCCTGGGGGGCGATGCGTTGCAGCCCTTCGTCCCAGCCTATTATGGGATGGTGGAGCACGATGGGGAGCCCTATATCCAGATGGAGGACCTGCTTTCCGGCTTCGAGAACCCTTCCATCATGGACTGCAAAATGGGCGTCAGGTGAGCCTTCCTTTGCTCCCTGGTGGGGGACTGGACTCGGCTGCAGATACCCTTGGGGTGTCTCTGTGTGTGTGTGGGGGGGCAGCCTCCTTGCATCTTCCGCAGAGCTTTGCCCCCCAAAAGCCTCCAAGGCCTCTGTCTTCTCCCCACCTGTGCAGGACGTACCTGGAGGAGGAGCTGGAGAAGGCGAGGCAGCAGCCCTGCCTGCGCCCCCACATGTATGACAAGATGATAGCCGTGGACCCTTCCGCTCCCACCCCAGAGGAGCACGCCCAGCGTGGCGTGCTGAAGCCCCGCTACATGCAATGGAGGGAATCGCTCAGCTCCACCAGCTCCCTCGGGTTCCGCATCGAGGGCATCAAGGTGAGCCGGGACTCCTCATTGGGAAGATCAAACGCTCCAAAGCGCCAAAGCCTGGCTGCCTCCCGCTTGGTTGCCAGGGAAGCCCAGTTCATGGCTGGGGAGGGGCTTTCCCCTTGCCCAAGCTGCCTTCTGCCCCATCGGACACTCTGCTTGAGGAGAGACTCGAAGGGATCCCTGCCGGAACCAAGCATGCCTTGTGCAGTGGTGGGATTCCATTTTTTTTACTACCGGTTCTTTGTGCATGGCTTGGTGGGGGTGGGGTGGTTTGGTGGGCGTGGCAGGCGAAGGATGCCGCCAAATCTCCCTTTTCTCCCGATCAGCTGGGACT